TTGCACATAAATGTGGTAAAATCTAAGTATCATTTTGTTTTCAAGAGTAGTAAAAACCAAAATAAAACTAATTTTTTTTTAATGAGACAAGATATGAAGACACTGATGTGATATGCGGTACACCTCAATGCTTCCTCGCCAGAATATTTTGTTTAATGAGAAAACATCTGATGAGTCACAACAAGATTAAAACACATGTGATCCTAGAATTAGTTTAGTACCGCTACCAGCAGTTATCTTCAGCACTGAATTGATTTCATAAAAGTCTTTTTTTCATCAAAAACAAAACAAGAAGAATGAAAACCTCCACTGGACTAATTGCATCAAACCCAGATGACCTCTGTCTCATTTTTCTATCGCTTTGAACTGATCGGCTGTGAAGATCATTCATCTAATCCTGTCCGCTGTGATTTGTCCGATACGCCCTCTAATGGGTGGGAAATCTCAGAGTGACCACGGACAATGATTTTCTGAATATTTCCCATGGTTGCAACATTTCCCCTCACTATTATGGGTGCCCTTTGACTAATGCGATTCAAGCTTGCTAAGTGTTTAATGCTTTTGCCCTCTGGTGTCAGCTCTTTACTTAGTAGCACCCCTCCTCAGTGCTCTGTCTCACTCCAGCATCATTTAGTCTTTCTACTGTACAAATCTCTGTGAAACCCACAGCTAATTCTTACGCTTTCAAATGGGCTGGGAAGCAAGTTTTGCCTCCAAACAATTTCTTCACCCTCAGCCAAAAACGGACATGGAGTAAACTGAAGATGTGCAGCAGATCAGAAGCGACGCAAACTCAAATCTGATGAGGCGACAATCATCTCTGAATGCCTTTCCTCTGATATGTTCATGTGCCTGGAAGTGGTAAAGAGGCCAATGAGGAGACAGAAGAAAAAGGAGCGAGTTCTGTGTCCTTTGGAGCGTCCCGGGCCGAAGCTGATCGTCCGTGCGGTTTGAGCCAGGCCCGGCTCAGACAGACAGACAGCTGCTATTAAACCCTGATTGTTTCAGGTTCACAGGGTGTGAAAGGGTCTGATTGAAGGGCTGTGATCCCAGTGAGGGTGGTCCTTCTCCCCCTTACCTCCCCTCTCTCTCCCTGTGTGTGGAAGGTGGGAGAAGGACCGTGTAGTGGAAGGGGGGGTGACGGGTTGCAGGCGTCACGTGACGAGTTTCTTGCTGTGCGGACTAAAATGGAATCTTGACAAAAACACACCACTTGTTGCTGCCTGCTTCTTGTTACACCTGTGTCACATAATCAGGGGCCAAACCCTCCGCCCCCACTGCCTACCCTAAGCTCCCCAAAAAAGTGACTTTATCATCATGATTAATACCAGAGAGAAGTTTGGCCAAAGTTTTACTCGTTTTTACTACAGTAGACGCAAATCCACCCAAATAAAAATTGTACGAGGTCAAAGAAAAACCCATCAGTCCCCTGATATGACTGTGGTAAATCACTTCAGACCTGACCTGTGACTGCAAATCTGAGGTCAGCTGCCTCCTGCACAGTGTATTTGTTTAAGGCCATCCCCATTAAGGAGCCTTTCGAGCTCAACACACTTGATAAAGACCAGAGAGGGCAAGGAAGCTCCCCTGCAGAGCTTTTCTCATGTGGCCAAAGGACAAGTGCAGTCTCGTCCATCGAATGCTCCCCCATGTAAACCTCTAAAGGAGTCAGCGTGATTGCTCATGATGGAAAATGACCCCAAGCTTTTTTATTCAGCTTCTTTCAGCATAAAAACCTGATAACAGTAGCTAAATCCACCTCGTCCAGTTGCAAAGCAGTTAAATAATTTAATATCTCATAAATCCTTTCAAGAGTCTTCCTCTTAATGCAGTCTACAAAAGGTATATGTGTGAGTGGGGAAGCTTCACACTGTGTGTGCTCAGCACTTCTCACTGTCACTTTGGAAATAAATAAGTGTTTGGCCTCCCCATTGAGGCTGATGTTGACGCTCTTCAGTGCAGGGCCACTATTAGCAGTGGCCTAATCTTCCCACATTAGCAGCTACAGTCCACTCTTACTCAGATAATTAGATTAGAATCCAACATCTATCCCAGATTAGAGATGGATGATAGCAGGGTTCAATTCATAAGAAGCACCAAAAGTGCAGATGTCAGAAAACCATCAAAGTTTATGCATTAAAAGTTTTGACAAACTGCAGCAAGAGGTAAGCATGTAGGACAAATACTGGCACCAAAAGTGTTGCGAATTACAAGAAACAGCTGTTCTCGGGTGGCCCTGCTACTGTCCTCGGGCAAACCTGCAGACCCCCACCCCAAAGGAAGCAGTTTTAGGGGGGGGTCTGCAATTGAGCCAGGAAATTCAGCAAAACGTCAGCTTGTCCTCTCATGTCTAAACAGAAAACAATTTAAATATCTTCCCAGGTCTCTTTTAAACCCAAAGTAAAATATACTCTACCCCAAGAAACCACAAAACCCACAAAAACCGAACACAATATCTTATCAAATAAGGGGAAAATTTAAAACAAAACGTAAGACGAAAAAAGAAAGCAACACATAAACAAAGACATGGAAAAAACCTACTGTAACACACAGTTTAAAGTTTTCATCTGATTTAAAGAGATCCAGGCTACAAGGGTGATTATAAGGCTGCGCAAAAAGTTACTTTCAAACCAAGAACACGCGTAATCAAGTCAATTAATAATTCGGCTGTGATTTACAGAGCGACCATAAATCATCAGCTCTGCTTACCTCAGGGTAGAGGAGAAATATTCAGCATGAAACTCCCTGACTGGAGTCCTTGGAAGAGCTCAGAGGATCCAGGGACTGAGAAAGTTTCCAGTAAAGCCTCCCGTCTCTCTCTCTTTCCCCTTTCTTTCTTTCTTTCTCTCTCTCTCAACTTTTCTGGCAAGCAGGCGGATGGAGATGAGTGAAATCTTCACAGAAACCGACACATTGTTCCTTCTTCAGCAGGGATCTTGCATACTTTCGAATTCTTCAAAGTGTCTTTAGGCAGACGTTGACAAAACTGCACCCCATGTTCGGCTCTGGAGTCCCGCAAAGCGCCTTGGAGTTGGCTGCACAGCCAATGCGGGAATGCGCACCCCCTTCTCCCTCTCTCTTCCCCCTCCTTCCCTGTCCTCCCTCCCTTTCTCCACAGCCTGTGGACCACCCCGAAACAGGAAGTTCACTTTTTGTTTTTCTTAAAAAAAAAGAAAGAGAGAGAGAGAGAGAGAGAAAAAAAAGAACCACACTGCCTCGGTTTTCTCCTCAAACTTAACATGCAGCCCAGAAACACAACCGAAGTGATGGTCGGTCAGTTTCCCTCCCTCTTCTCAGTAAATAAAAGAGCATTCCTTTAAAGTAATATAATCAGCTATATAAAGGCATCACAGCCTCCAAGTGTTTATCAAATGCTTGTACGTACACGGCTGCGTCTATATTAAGTAGGTTCTTATCTAGTAATTGTGAAAACCTATCTATAAATGTTTGTGTTTACTTTAACAGTGTAACTTCATAGCAGCCCATCGGACAGCGTGTGTGGCTGCCTGGCTGGCTTCTTGTGGGGATGCTGCAGATTGCTGAGCCTCAACCAGTCAAATCCACCACAAAACCTGGACTGGAATCCAATCCGCTGCCCTGGAGCCGGACCAGAGCCGACGCGACCACAAAGTTATTGGGTTATTAAAGAAGAAAGCCGTGCGCCGACACTTAACCTAAAACCAGACATTATTATTTCAGGAAGTGTACATGATCACATTTAATAGACATATGAGTGTTATAAGAAAAGTTGTAATTATATTTTTATATTTTTATAAATAATCACATATTTATTTATTTATTTATTTATTTATTTATTTATTTATTTATTTATTTATTTATGCAGAGAATAACAATGTTTCAGAAAAAGAAAAAGATCACAGTAAATATAAAAGAAAAAAAAAAGTAAATTCTTCTTTGTTATTTTTTCATCTTAACTATTTATTGATTTATTTCTGAAAACATTAATCTTAAAATGGTATAATGTAGCTAATTAATTTATTCTATCTAGATATGATCTAGTTGTTTGTTTATTTATGTATGTTTGCTGTAATGTTACTATATCAGTTGATGAGGAGCCGTTGACTTCTTATGGTATTTTTTGTTTGTTTGATTTAATTGCGTAATAACCCATAAAATATTAATGTGCTTTTTACAGTGCTTGTTATTGAATAGATCTGTAAAGATTTAACAGCACTAACAAAAGAAAATATTGAATGTGTTAAGTGTTTTGTATTCAAATGTTTTGCAGAATCCAAACTCATCACCACGGAACCAAGAGTGTTTATTAGCCGCACGTCAGTGAATAACTACATTCATGAGGCGGTTTGATTTTCAAAGCAGCCGGGAAAGCCTGAACAGTTGGTGACCCGAGCCAAGGCTGGAGTCCATTCACAGCATACGGCCAGTGGTTAAATCAGATTTTGTCAATGAGAGTTGTGGTGGGCTTTGGGCCCAATATAGCTGCAGCAGCCAAGCAGGGAAGCCTTGGCTATTAACCCTCCCACAGATGCTGCAACCATATGTTTCATCTGACAGAGGGGAGAATCTCACACTAGCTTCACTTCAGATTATCAATGAGTGGGATTAAAGGTGAGGAGAGTTTATCGTAGTTGTCGTTAAGAGCTTTTTTGGGCCTTTTTGAAACTGGAAAGCATAACTTAGCTAAATATAGGAAAATATATGTATACTTCAGATTTATTCATTGAGAAGATTTGATCCAGATGGTTTCAGTGCAAAGTTGATGAAGATGACAGCATGCATACAAATTTTTCAGTTAATCTAGGAATATTTAGCAAGTAGTTCATCCACTCACTATTCAAACTTTTGCATGCTAATCTATTAAATAGAGATATTACTCAGCGTCATAAAACATGTTCATAGTAGAATAGTTCATATCTGCAGCTCTTATTCAGTTTTGTATGCAGGAATATACAGACAATATTATACTCATACAATATTGTATACATACAGAATTTTGTTAGCTAATGTTTGCAGTTTTCTTAACAGCTAACATTAAGAAAACATTAGCTATTTGTAGTAAAGGGAGAAAAGGTGAATGGGGCAGAAATAAAAAGTTACAGATGTCCACCTCCAAAGCCTGTAGAGGGCTTACCGCACCAAACAGATTACCAACAAGGTAAGCCAAAGGAAAAGCTTTTAGTACCGTTAAGGTCAAGAAAGGACTGAAAGCTGCTGACAGGATGAAGTCTCACTGTTTGCTAAATTCCTAAAACTGGTTTTGCACAGTGTTATCACTTCCAGTGTTTTATGCACAGAAATGTCTTAAATATGTGGAATAACAGAAAGTTCAGTATAAGATTATATGCACACCATACAACAACAAAAACATTTGAAACCATATTTAATATCCACTAAATGGAAAGAAAGTGAAGCCCCTTTCCTCATGGTGATGAATCCAAGGTTACGGAAGGCTATGAGGATCATGCATGTTAGCCAAGTGAGTAGAAGAGAAAGCAGCTGTCACCAAGGCTCAGGGCATCTGGACACCATTCCCCAGTGCTGCAAAATCCAGCAAATCTTTTACAGGATTTGTTTTTCCATTGCAGATGGTCCTCTGCACATGTTTTCCTCCCATTGGCTCGGGGTCCCGGGCTGGCAGTGCTGCAGCCATGTAGGTACCACATATAAAGGCTTGCTCTGTCTGCAGCAAGCCTCTGCATACTGAAGGGAGGAAACTGGAGTTAAAAACAACAATATGACCTGCGGCTGGACATCTCCATGAGCGCTTTAAGCATTTTCGTAACAATCAGGTGCAAAGGTAAGCGCTGCACAGATATTTTATTTCTAGTTAAAATGTTAATTTATTGCAGTGTCTGCTAAAATTTTATTCTGATTTGTGCTGCATGCACAACACATCACTATCTACCTTCCTGTAGAAATGTTTACTTCATCTTCCTTTCTTTCTTTCCCTCTTTCTTTTGTGTGCTCTTAATTCATTTTTTTTCCGTTGTCATGTAACAGATAAAAAATATTTAGTAATCAAAAGTTAAAAGGTACACATATATAATTTTAAGTACAGAACTTAGAGTTTCTCTAGGTGATAAATTCTTGTTGATCTTATGGAATTATGCATTATTTGCCAAGAGCTAATATTTGGTGTGAGATAATAATTGGTGTTAATTGGTGTGAGAAAATAATTAGTTGAGATCAAATTCATACCCTTTCACATAGATGTGTAGATATAAAATAGAGAATTTTAACAATACAAGATAGGTTTAAAACAAGAAGCATTTTTTTTTCTTTTGCCCCTTCTGACATTAAGCAGTAAAAAAAAACCTGTTTTAGGGCGATAGTCACTAGAGGGCAGCATTTTACAAGCCGACAAGCAGACAGAGGAAATGCTCCATATATAACATCAGACACAGATAGAATGCCAGGAATTTGTGATGTAAAAAAAGTCCAACCCTTCACCATGATGTCAGCTTCAACTGAGAAATAAACAAACACGCTTGAGGGGATATAAAATAAATATAATTGCATAAGTGAGTATATCTTTTGACAAATACTCCGTTTTATTCATCTTTTGATTTATCTCACTTTGCATTTAGCCTTCTTGGATAGACACCTCACATTAATTTATAGCAAACAGTTGAGTTGTCATTTTAGGATTTTTCTGTCAGATGCATCTTTTTTTTTTATGTGTGAACTAGGAATAACAATTTCGTCTTTTTTAAAGCCTATTTCAAAGAAGACATTGAGCCCTCACTTAAACATTCAGGCTAGAATATGTCATGGTTTGACAAAACCAGACTTAAAGTTTTGTGTTACAGTTTTGCCACAAAAATGACAACATAGAGCATCACCTAAAAAAAGCACCATACCAATACAAAACTTGGTGGTTGTAGGATCCTGAATTGAGGTTGTGTTTCCTGACTAGATGGGCCGGGGTATGTTGCAAGGTGAATGGAATTAGGAAGAGATCCAAATACCAATGGATCCTGACTTACAGTCAGGTAGCAAGTTGAAGACAAAGTGGGATTCCCTTTTTCAGTGCCATAGTGGGTTCAATGCGCCTCTCAAAGAAGCAATAGAAGTTATTCTATATAAGGAAATCAAAGGTTTACATCTGAGATGGAAGAATGCTGTTCTTCTTTTTATTTTATTTTGCTTCTACGGCTAAAGCACTAAAGAAGATGTACAAAATAAGTGTGATGAACAAGAATTAACGTTATTCTATAATTTTTGTATTTTTTTCCAAATTGATTTGTTTATTTTCTGTTGAAAATAGAGCTTCAAGTTTACAGGATATATATGGGTAAAGATTTTATTTTGGTTTGGTATTGTTTTAATGGTGTCATTTTTTAAACCCCAAAAACCTAGCACTTCAATGGGAGGACATTCAATTTTGAAATAATTTTGTTGTATGACTATGTATGTATAGCAAAATCTTTCTTACAGAAATCGGTGAGTATGTGTGGTCCTTTATAGTCTATTATATTCTTTATAAACTTCTAGTATTTATACTCATAACCTTTTCTTCAAGCAGACAAAATCTGTTAACATTTATATCAAACCGTTTACCTCTCATTTGTGTCTCTGCGTGATTTCTTTGTGTTTGTTGCAGAAGTTCTATCATCTGGACAGATCACACCAGCAGACATTGTCATGAAACAGCAGGAGATAGACTGAAGCGCTATCTTCAGATCAGGAAGGTATGCAATCAAACATTGCGTTGCAAGCTTCTAAACATTGCAAACATGATCTTTTTCTAAAAACCTGACCTAAAGGTTTATGTGAAAAAAAGGTCAGCCCTACTAAAAGATATCTCAACTCTCCACTAGGGGGCAGTACATTCGTTTGCAGTTCTGCTTCACAGCAAGAAGGTTTAAACCTGAAGGTGGGTGGAGCCTTTCTGTTCAAGGTTTTGTAAACTCTTCCTTGTTTTTTTCTCCTGCTTGTTTCTTTCAACTCCCACACGTTTTTGTGTTTTGTATTTGCTTCGTTTGTCATAATCTTAATCAGGTACAGTTTATTTTATATCATTTTATGTTCTCTATAATGCAGCTTAGAAATGCTGAAACATTGTGAAACATTCTGCCTTGGTAAATATATATGTAACCTTGTCCACCATACTCCTAATTTCCTGCAGCAACTCCCCAAGCTTACATTTGTAAGGTGTTACATTACACACATTAGATCCTGACATTCATTGCCCTGATTGGATGGATTCTGTTAAGTTGCCTCTGACAGAATTAGGTCCCCATCGGAAATTGAGTGGGGTAAGACCGGTTAAGATGGAGGTAAAGCAAGAACTGTGGCATTAAGTCCTTTAGCTGTGCTGATGCAAGCTCCTACTGGATCCTGGACTGTGTAAATCCAGCAGCCTCTGCTCTCATTTGAACACTTTCATTTATCCACTTTTAAGCACGTAGTGGGTAATAAACAGATATTCTGAGGAAGGTTATCGTTTTTCATAAGTCAAAGTATATGAAGTAAAATAGGTATCTAATAAATGCAGTAGGAAATTATACTTTTTGTGTGTTTTGGCAACATGAGCAACCACAGTAAGAGCTTTTGTGTTATCTATTTTACTGATTTTAATAGGTACCATCAGTCCAGAAAATCTTATGATGATGACCATAAATTAAATCTTTGAACTTGGATGAAACAGCAAGAACAATTTTTGAAATAATATTCAAAGGGAAAACTCTAGAACAGGGATTTCTGGTCTCCTCCAGCATCTCACTCCCTCTCAAAAAAAAACCAAATCCACAACTGTGACGTTCCATTCATACGTTTCACTGATGTTGTGGGGTTTACCTGCTTTAGCTATGTAGCGCCATACATCATGCTTCAGTTGTCTTGTCATTTGCAATGCTAACACTACTGTCAGCTGTGACCTCAGTTCATTTAGCCCTTTGTTTAAAAAAAAAAAAAAACTCTTGGAGTTTTGCAAACACTGTGGAAGTGGAGCATCTTCAGAACCAATCCAAGAAAATACCAAGTTTAAATAATTATGGTCATATTTGTGCCAAATTTTTAGTTACTTTGCTTGGCCCGGTCTTCTTACCCCTGTAACTTTAATTACTAAGAACCAATCAATTTGGTAAAGTTTGCTAAATTATCAAAATTACTTTTTCTGGTTTATTTTTTTATTTTTTTTCATTATGTTGTGCCCCCCTGAAGCTCTCTGGTGACCCCCAGAGGGGGGCACGCCCCACACTTTGTAAAGCCCTGCTCTACAATTTATGATTCTGCCTAACAAATTGGTTCCCTCATATACTCCTGTTGTGGCAGACCTATAATTTTCACTCTTTAAAGCTGCATAAAAATATTTTCTCTTGTGACTGTGGTGAAACCTAACCATGGTTCTGTATGGAGTACCTGCTGTTGGAGGAAATACCCAATTAGCTGCCAGCTGCTGAATTAAGTTGGCTGCTGGAAGTTTAGTGGAACATAGAACTGAAAGGGAAAGCAACACTAACATTTCACAGGTGAGCTCATTTCATTTCAGCACTGATATTTTGTCCTTGTTAAATTGGGTGATTAATTTATGAAGTTATAGATTAAAGATTATGTCTTCTGCAACACATGCACTTGTTTCTCTGGCTGAACGTGCCGCAAAATTAGCAGGAAAAAGACTTGCCATGTATCAGTTAATAATTTCAGAAATTATTTTAACCAAACATGGTGTCACATGCACTGAAAGGCATATCTTGGACACTTTCTAATGGTGCTTTTCTATAATGGTTCCAGTTCCTTCAAGATAAGATAGGGTGTATTACTGAGGCCCTCTGCTGAAAAAAGAAAAAAACAAAAAGACAAAAGCATTACTGTTAGATATAGCAAAATAACAGTTAAGCTTTCTCTAGCATTTAGTAAATGCGTCCGCAGTACAGCTAGGTGATAGAGGAAGTTTGAAAGCTATAAGTGTCCATGAGTAAAATGAGGACTCAGAGAATAACACTCAGAATTGTTTATTTATCTCAATATGGAGGTTTTAATAGGGCAGATCATTTTTGTAGTGTGCTATTTACTTTTTAACATGAGTACCTTGCTTTGATTTAGCTGTTCACTACTAGTTTGAAAACTTTTCTAGGATGATGCAATAGGTCAAGTGTTACCAATGAAGTGTGAGGGGTTGGCAGGGGTCAGGAGGGTATTATTATGATATTTATTCCTAAATTAAGGTGTAATATTGACATAATCAAGTCAAAAGTGTAAAGCAATTTGGTTATTGCTAAGAAACCAAAAGCTTAGCTGTAGCAGCGGAAAGGAATTTTCTGCATTAAATTACATTTTTTAAAATGTACTGTTGAGTCATTAGTACCTTTACTGTGTGGCTTCCACTTGTTACCCACTAAATTTGGACTTTTTTCCAACATGTTATGCTTGAATCTTGTACTCTGGCAGATCAATTCTTGATCAGAATCATGGTCTTGTGAGGCTTGTCAGTATCCACAAGTCTTCTGAGGCATTTTGCTGCCCTCAAGTGGCCGTAAAACTGTTCATTTTAGATTACATTATGAAATTCATAGTTTTATCAACCTTGTTTAAGCAACAAACTGTTTGCACTACAATAGTAATTTGAAGAAATGTTAGAAGTATTGCAATTACTGCTTCAGTTGTTGTTCCAGTGTGTTTTAATCAAATAATGCTAGGACATGTCTTCCTTACATACAATTCTTAACTAACATCAATATATGTGTGTCTATTGCAGTTTTCCAAGTGTGTGCCATCTGTAGCATCTATTTTATTAAATTATTTAGCTAGGCACAGCAGATGTACAACTGTTCTTCTTTCGACAACTCATCTGAAAGTGACCAATTATAAAGCTTTACGGTGGTTCAGCACTGAGGTCCTACACTGGCAAAGGGATATAACCTTAGAAATGACCATCAAATATGTAATACTTGATTGGGCAATGTATATAAAAATGTTTAAATTTGTACACATATGAGGAACTGACTAAAACCTTTTGCTCTTACATGGTACTTTAGTTAGATCAGCATCATTCCTGGCACCTTTATTTGAGATCCCCAAATTTCTGTCATGTAACTCAAACACATTACAGTAAAGAAAAAGCCTCAAAACTGCAAAAGTTGGACACATTCATGTAGCAGTTTGGGAACAAAATTAGCTTCCTTAAGCAGCATTAACTTAGTATTTTGTCTATTGCAACTGCTAAACCACAAGCATGGCATTCATCAACCATTCCTGAACCAAGTCTCTCAGAATAGCTGGGGATGCTCGTGAGGGAGGCTCGTGGGGTTGTTGCTTTATAACACATGTTCATCACTTGCTCAATTTCTTATCTGTTGGAGTACTTCAGATGTCACTGTAAAAGTACATATGGATTTTTTTCAAACTGTCGTTAAAGGTCCCATCTGCTACAAATTCATATACCCTCGACATGTTGGCATATCTGGTGCTCCAACAAGTTTGCATTTCAATGAAAGAGGCTGATTGCTGATACTGCAAGGTATGTAGTTTCCACTAAAGAACTTATTTGAGTTGCTGTGTCCCAAAAGTAACTTTCAGTCAATGGTTTCTGAATGTTCATAAAACTCCCATTGCTTGTCAAACAAAATGCTAAGCACAATCAAAGTCTGGACACTGTTTCTGCCCTGCTCGTACTCAAGTATACTTTTTGCTAGGTACTGGTGGCACCCAGGAACCTTCAATCTACCACTGTCCGAGATAGGAATGCAAAAATGTGATATGCTGAAGATGTAAGCATGTTACTTCTTTTTCATAGTTCGCTTAATTTGGTTTCAAACAAATTCATATGGTGTTTTTTGTGTGACAGATAATCCCAAGAGACAGTCAATCATGTGAGAATATTTCTTTAAAGCACGCAGTCTTCTTCAACCTCAGAATTATGAGATCACATAACTGCCCCTTTCTACTTTTGGCACAGATTTGTGTCTAGATTGCAGGCATTTAAAAGTCCATAAAAAGTTTACGAGGCAGTAAATGTAAATGTTTTGATATGTTTCAACCTGTGATTCAGGCACAGATTCTGACTTGCCCCAGTCTCAGGTCTTAGAATAGATTCTTTGTGTTTTGGGTTTCAAGATATTAAAGGTAGGTTGGAGAATGCTGTTAGTGAAGACTCTCTAAAAATGAGTATTCAAGGCCTATGCTTAGTCTTTGTAAGTTACAAAAAGGGTGACAGCATACCGGTATCTTTGCCAAACAGCTCTAAAAGTTCTGTCAGTTCAATACTCGAGGGATATCTTTTAGATTTCAATCATATATGAAGGATCTATTTAGTTTAGTCTTTTATTTTACAAGTTTTAACTTCTTCTATTGACCCTTTCCATTTTAGCAGCTAGAAATCTATTTCAACCACAAATATTGAATTGAATAGACCACTTATCTTACCATTAACTTCATCTAAGTGCTCTGCCGCTTAAGGAAATCATCCTAAAATGAGAATTTATTCATCTATACCAACAATGCATGAAAAAGCACTTGGGGTACAGGTATCAAAGAAGATATTTTGCACAGTCTTCAGGGTGAATTCCCAGGGATGTTAAAATGTTAGTACCTGAAGATGTTGAGTATCCGCTGTTGCTCTGATTAGAGTGGCTAATGGTCCCTAGATCCTTTGAGTCTTTCCACGGCCTATGAGTAACAGTCATACACCGTTTGTGCTAAAGTGCTAGTTACCATTAACATCTCCACTGCCATCAGCTTTCACTCATTCATCCTTAGAGAAAATCAGTCTAGTGCCCTCTGCTGTCCAAACAATGAACAACTAAGAAAAAAAATCACTGTAAGCTGTATCTTCAAGTATAATGGTGTTAACACCATAAAAGGAAAAAAAGAATGCATGGATTAAGCATGCGCAATACATCTGTAGTGTGCTATTTACTAGTTCCTGCTATGATGGATTCAGTTCTCTGGATGCACCACTGATTTCAACTTGGATTTCGTATTCAAATTATGTCTATTTATGGAATGTGATTACAAATATCAGCCAAATCTACACCCCTTAGGTCCTCTGATGCTAAGTGTTATTTGTGTCTCAGTCTGACAACATTTTTGAGTTAAAATATTAGGATGCAATGGCAGCGTAAATAACATGATTACGGTAAAGTAAGCGTTAGTTTAATTGGATTATTCTCAATAGTAAATCTGAGAGTGATTCTCGGTCTTCTTACTTTAGAAACGCCACCATGTGGTAAAACTGGATCTTGTAGTTCATTTCATGATTAATATTTGTTTATCAATCCCTATATTGGTATGGTACAGCCATATTCAAATGTTAGTAAATAAAAAATAGCAATGATTTTGTATTCACAGTCATTTACAAACTTATCTTGAATCATTTGTATAAAACACATAAGAAATGTTTTAGGTAACTTATTAAAGCCAAAAAAAAAAACACAAATTCAAAATTGATGAACCAGAAGTGAATTTAACACTTAATATTTTAAAATGATGTAATTTAATGCAAGTTTATTAAGTCTTGATTTGCTGTCATAATCTAATGTTGTAATATAAGTATTTTTATTATTATTATTATTACTGGTATAAGACTATGTTAGCTTTGTTCTTTGTCCCTATTTTTTATTTGAACAAACACACTCAAAAAAATTGTTGGACTCAGATGAGAACTTTTAGGTTAGAAAGTAAGTTAAGGGTAAAGCTTTGCCTAGGTTCCCGTTACAGGATATTGTTCTGGAACAAGGTACTCCTGACGTAACTCAGAGAGATAAAGGAAGTAACTGGGACTGTCGTAATGGGATCATCCTGTGGATTTAAGAGTTATTTGAAGGTCTGTGTATGTTAAAACTAGAACACAGTAAACAGTGCTGTTCCAGATTCTTTAAAATGACATTGAAAGTGTCTCCTAAAGGTCTACTGCATTCCCCTATTTTACCTTTCAGAGCTGATGAATTGCAACCATGCACAGTAGAAGATAATCTATGACTTTTATATTGTATTCTGGGACCTCTGTGATCACTGGTAGAGTTAAAGAAAGTTACAGAACTTCTCTTTATTTATCATGAAAATTGGCATCTATACAGGAAACATTTCAAATTAGATATGGAATATTATCAACGTCTAATTCTCTTGATAACCCAAGTGGCTTTATACAGTGAAGAAATACATTTTCTAGCACCTGGTATTTAATTTAACAAGACTTAACATGAAATCTAATTGTTAATCCCAGTGAAAGTCCCTTTCTAACCATTTGTATGAATTGCTGTCATTTAATTGAATCTTAGAACGTGTATCATACATTTAGTAACTTCGAGACTTGTTACATGGAAGGATCATGTAGCTGTTGTTGTACACAGTAATCTTCTCACTAAGCCTTGCATCGTTATTTACTGTTTACCTGAGGAATCAGTGGAGAGAGTGGGAACAGTTTGGTTTCACGTCTCGTCCTGCCATGACACCTTGAGCAGCGACTCTGGCTGACACCTTTGACCTTCGGTAAAGGATTTATGGGATTGTGAGTGGAGTGAAGGATTTAGGGTTTTAGTGGCACATGGCAAAACAGTGGGTCTGTCGGTCAGTGTGTCAGTATATCAGTGAGTCAGTAGGCTTTTCATTTTCCCAAACTAGGTCAGCTATCTACTTTCATTAAATGAGGCTAATGCTGGAACTTCCTGGTGTCACTCTGCTCACCTGCTCACATGTCAACATATAACTCTCCTCATGCTCATGTTCCAACACCATCACACGTGCACTCACACCTTTAGCCTTCACCCATAGTCCTCACCAAATAAAAACAAAAAGCATTTATTCTCTGAGTTGTTAGATAGAAAGGCAAAGTGTATTTTTTTTTGTATGTTGCCAGTCACATTTGAAACAGATGCAAAATCATGCTTCAATATCTGTTTCAACAAATCCAGCCGTGCTGAGCCGCAGAGAAAACGTGATGTCACAGGTTACTTTCAGGAATCAAATTACAAAACGTGTACCACTAAGCTGTAACTGAGGAGATAAAATTTAATTGAACCGCTTTTAAATTTTCCACATTTTTCTCACAATTTATGTTTGCGTTCAAGCCAATGTGAACCTATCCAGTTAAGATTACCAAAGCTAAATATATTTACATACTTTGCATAAATTTTCTTAGTATGTTTCGGAATTATCTGTTAAGCTTCATGACATGGGTAACCTTACACGATGTTCTCTCCATTAGTTGGCCTGCAGTGTGACTGACTCAGGTTTGTTGGCCACCATGCTGCTTGCACACACCTTTTCAGCTCTGCTCGTTCCTGCTTTGAGCCATTGCATTACCAATTTTGTTGTCATTAAGCCAAATTGCAACCATCGTGCTTTGGAGCTTTGCATGCGAGCTTTTACTTTCTGGTAAATATTTTTAAATGGTCTTTCAATAATGCTGTTTCCTCATGATGCCCCCAGCTTTGTGAATTGCACCAGTCCTTCCTGTAGCGTAACACCCCCACAACGTGATGCTGCCTGCCACCATTGCACTTCACAGTTGGGATGATGTTCTTAGGCTTTGAAGCTTCCTTCTGGCTTTTCAAAATGTTGTTAAATGTAAGTTTCTCTGTGAAGTTAAGTTTTATTTGGCTTTTCATGTCACTTTTGGAATAATGACTTCTTCTTCTGTGTGGGATTTCAGCTTTACCAAATAACCTTTGACAATTCTGGCCTTTAGCAAGCACCTGTTGGAACTTTGCATCTGCTGAGCTTCTGTTATGAAATATTTTGCAGTCCAGTGCACTGACAGACGTTTGTAAGTGCTTACTAGGGGGATGTTGATGTGATGACATGCTGAAGGTGGTGTGTAATTGCAAAAGAACTTCTTAAAAAGACAGAGGCTCAATTTCAAGTTGTTAAATTGTGAAGTCAAATTTCTTTTAAGTCATGTTTGATATGTACATAATTTTTATAACAACTGAAAGTGACAGTTACTTGATTGTGCTATGAAATGACACTATGTGGCTGGAAAACATACAACACTGCTCCTTTAAATATTTTTGTTCACTTGTTCTTATTGTTGTTTATTTTTTTCACTTCATTGAATTGTACAGCACTTTCATCAATTTCAGAACTGTATGTGCTTTATAAACAACTTAACATTTACATTCCAGCTGCTATTAATAGAGGACTTGTTTCACTGTGGATGATTTATTCAACATCTCCTCAATATCTTTTTATTTTTTGTTCTGGGTTTATGCATATACTTTGAGGCAAGACAGGTTTCTATAATAATTTCCTTGAAACCCAGAGGTTACTTTCTGGCTGGAAATGACACAAGTATCACCCAAAAGACCATAAGATAAGGTACAATGGCTTTTTGAAAAAAAAAAAAAAACAATCTGAGATGTTCTTTATGTCTTAACAAATAGTGTCATATTAAAGATATTTCAGGCCCTTCTCTTCAATCGTTGGAGACATCTTTTTTTCTTCACTAGCTCACTTTTTCTTCTCACAGCTGTTGACAAGCTTGTGGCATGTCTGCACAGGTATTTCCACATTTCTTTTTAAACATCATCGCTGTCTTTTAGAAACCATGTGCTCATGGAAATTACATTAAAGTTATAAGAGACATAAACCAAAGAACCTGCAATGTAACTGACAAAAGGTGGTTCACTCAAGAAGCTGAAGAAAGATGTTCCATACTGCAGGTTTTCAGTTGCGAAACATATGAATCTTAAATAAAATAAATACATGGTTAGTTGTTACATGGCAAAAAAAGCTATTTAAAAAATTCCCTTCTGGGCACTGAATGTGGGGCAGTGTTACTGAACTTTTGTTCCTCAGACAGCAGAATTGGTTGCCCAATAATTAGAAGGTCAGTAGTTTTATCAATTGCTCAATTTGTCCACATGTTCAAGTGTTCTTGTTGAAGATATTGAAACTGGAAGATCACTTTGTTTTAATGTGATTGTTTTCCCTGTATATTTTCTAAGAACCTTAAGAGGTGTAGAAAAAATATCCTTCATTTCAAAATGTTATGTCGTGGTTATTTCTTATGGCACTTCAAACCAAACTGTACAAAGCAATAGGCCGTGCTACTCCAAACTATTTTCTGAAGGAAGAGCTGTGATTATTTGCCATTCTTAGAAAATCACCTGTGATGATTGATAATTTGCTATTGACAGCAAAACAAAGTTCTCCGATATAGCTCACTCCAAACGTTGGTCCTACAGCTGCTCAAACAAGTAAACAAGCAATGTGCAGAGTGATTTTAAAGTGAAAGTTCAGTTTTCTGGCTCTTTTAGGGTCATTTAGGAATTATTTTTTAACTAGTAGCTGACTGAAATTTGATTTTGCACCTGATGGATAAACACTGAGATTGTCATGTTCAAAAACTTCATGCAAAGGACACATTTTTGAGAATACATCTCATTAACTATTCTTTTCTCTGCTTCTTGGTAATTTTCAGGTTCCCTGTGAAGTGATTCCCTTTGGTTCAACAAGGTGCTGTCACATCAGACATGATCAGGAGTTATTCACCAATCACATCTGGCAGGTTCCTTCTGATGTATGTCACAAATAATCACATTCACAAACTCAAACATATTTATAGTTCGTAGTTTTTACCAAGTTATAACCACAAACATCAGTGTACTTTAATGGGACTTTAAATTGTAAACCAACAAAGTTAGAAAATAAATGCAAACTTAATGAAAAATGTTACGTTATCTTTCTATTTTTGTTTCAAATTAAATGTAAAAAAAAAAATTTGAGAAATCTGTATTCAGGCATTCTGAATTAATTCCTGTAGACTCACCTTTTTCTGCATTTTTGCTGCTTCCATCTATGTTGCATCTCATGACAGACATGTATCTTCCTTAATCCTCTCAAACTACTTAATGATCAGAGAAATTGGATTTGTGGCATCTGTGAACATTTTCTAATCTTACACAAATATTCTCCACATTTAAATCTTAGCGGATTTAAATGTGAACTTTGACTAGACCATTTTAACAAGCTTTTCTTCCACTGCTCGACCAGAAAAAATGTGTGTTGCTGATGATAGCGCTCAAAACCTATGGGTAGTCAAAGAAATGTTACTCAGCTGCGTGACCAAAGTTGTGCCACATAATAGTTGAGTTATTAATGATGAGGATTAGGCATTTGTTTGGGATCGAATATGGATAAACAGCATCTTTGCTCAGAAAAACTTTTTTTTGTGCCAAAGTGCCTCAGTTGGTGATTATAGTCCATTTTGGATGATGTAACATGACTGTGCTGTTGGCCCTGTAGATAGAGTTGAGAATTTTTTTTTCAGGGAAAGAACAATATGTTATGACCTAATGATTTTCAGGAAAGTCAAATGTCAAGGTTGTCAGCATTTCACAAAATTAAACAAATTCAAAGCTAAACATAAAACATGTTTATATAAGTGCAAATGCAATTTTTCTTCTGATGTTCAAAATGTTTGGAGCATTACCTCGCTATATGTTAACATAGTAACAGTATTTTATTGTTTCCTTGCATAAATGATTATTTACTCCGATAGTAGTGCCTCAGATTTAGATTGCAATCAGTCCATAATATAAATGCGTGATATGAAAGCGATTGCATGCCAAGGGAATGGGCCGACTGTTTACTCATCAAACACAGACGGTCCATAAAGCCACTTCTACTGTTTGTATGAGCAAGCATGCTCTTTGCCCTAGAAACTGCACCAGTATGATCATAAGACACGTGCATCTTCTTGGAACTAACAAAAAAGCAAGACTGATGATTGTGTGAACAAAAAATCTTATTGTAATGAATTGATAGCTTATTTTCTTTACATAGATGCAACTACATGAGCGTTGCTTACTGTGAATGTTTAAATAAGAATGAGATTCATCTTCTCTCATGGGTTCAGCCCATGAGCCTTAAGAGTTAAGGACATGAATTAAACATACACAATTAATGCAACACAATATATTGGTTTATAATATATATTTTATTGAAAAATGCGCAGACATTAAAATTAAATAAATTCAATATTATTTTAGTTTAAAAGTCTATTATAAATTGTCAGTCTTATACAAAATATAGAATCATACAAAAATAAAGAAAATGATTATATATTTAAATAGACACAGAATGGCTTCTGTCATCAGCAAGTATATTTACAACATAATATGTTTGAACAAAGCTAAAGCTTATGAAAGTAAGCAAATGGACATTAGCTCCCTGTAGGACTGCTTACACTTTAGGTCATGCCCACTTTAGCTGTAAGTACAGTAGAAAAAAAAAACCCTCTAGCAAAGTTTGCACTGAAACTACAGTAAGGGTGATAAAGTGCTTGCCTTAGTGGTGCTGCGGTGGCACTAACATGACACAATAAGGCCTGGGACAGGAGATATTAGAAGATATAAACAGGGTAAGCCACAAAAAAAAGACTAAAAATGTACATTCCATAAATAGAAGATATTAAGATCAGCCAAGAAAAGCTTTGATGATTTGAACCAACAGAGAAATAGTTGCCACGAGGTCCCGATTTAAGGAGAACATTGGGTTACTGAGATGTTCAGCAACTGAGAAACACCTTATTGTGAACTATGCAAAGCTATATTGTAAGCAATTTTATCTTTTTTTTTTTACCTCTCACTTACCCATTTGAAAATTGCAAAATAAGGCAAACGATGAATGAACAATAAATGAAAATGTGTGCTCATATACCATAACAAGCAATTTGACCACCACCGTGCTTGAAATTAAACTATTCCCATTGAGGTTGTTAATAATTTTAAACATCACACCATACATTTTCCAAATATGACTATTCTGGTTCAATAACCAAAAAAACAATGCTAATATCAAAAGAGGGGATTCTAGAGCTAATAAGATGTTCTAGCAAACAGAGACAGCTTTATTATCTATTACTGGAAAGATACTAAATTTACATCAGCCCTGAAAACTTTAGACTTTGAAGGCTATAATTGCCAACGTGCATCAGCACATGCTCATTGACCCACCTGCCTCACAGACCTTCACATGAGCAGACACTGAGGCAATAGCTAAATGTTTGCTCATGCTGCTGAGAAATGACCATGGGTTCATAAACTGTCGAAGCCACCCAGCTCATTAGAAACTTGTGTAAAGAATACAGTGAAATTGTTGTTCAAACATATTTCAAATGCATGTTGCGACTGGCTGCCCACAGTCACCTCTACATCTATGTATGTATCTAGATATCTATGCATACAAATGTAAAGCATATTTTTGATTTAGTCTTTTCAATGGTGGGATTTCACATTTCATAAATCTACAGAGAGATCCTTGAAATTGTCTTAAATGTGTTCAAAATCCCTGCAAGACTTCAATATGCATTTAGAAAAAAAGTGAACATATTTTGCCATCAGTGCTTGAATATAAAGAACACAACCAAATAGCTAGCTGTCTCTTCACACCCTAAGAGGATGCAAGGAGTTGAAGACATAAGCAATAAAATAAAGATTTCTAAAGGAATGTGGTATCTTAACTAGTCGGCCTACAATCCAGGCCTGAAAAGCAGTAAATAGAAAAAAAAAAACATAAAGCACATAAACAAAAACAAAACAAACAACTAAATAAGAAAAAAATAAAAATGAAATGGTGCAGAGATAAAAATAAAAATTGTATTACATGCCCCTGCCTCAATTTTTGGAAATTATATTGTAGATTTCCATTTTTCTTCTTTTTTTTTTTACTGCAGGCAACAGATAAAAAAAAGATAATTTACTGAGTCTATTAAACAAAACAACAACAAAAAAGAACATTTTAAATCAATCTGATTTGTTTTACCCAATCAATGTCTCTGAAGTACTATTTATTGTTGTTCTATCTAACTTTAAAACAATATTCCAATTCTGCAAATATAAATCTTTTTTTATTTGTATTTAAAAAAAAAAAAAACTAAAAACTTTTCTGTAAACCCTTTGACAAAGCATTTTGTTTTTTAAAATCTCTAGAACAATTACTAATAATACCATAATTTATACACAGCGATTCAGTTTTAAAAAGTACACGGAAACGTTACAATATAGGCATTCAGTGTCTTTGGTTATATTTATCGTGTTCTATTTTAGCCACGTGTGAAAATCTCCTACTACTGTAGGCTGTCCAAAGCAAACATCCCCCTTTAATTTTTCAGTCTTTAATATCTGCTTATTTCAGATTGCCTCTAATGGTATTGCTTATGTGCATCCGCAGGACTCAACTATCATGTCGGGGACGTCTGTTTTGACGATGCTGTGCTGAGAGTTGAAGTAGACCATGGACAGAGGCCGGCGCTCGGTGGGGATGCAGCATGAAGCTGTGGCTGTGTTGATGCCATTGACTTTAAGCTGGCTGAAGACCGTAGCATGAAATGAGGATGCTATGCCCGGGGAGCCGGCTAGATGCTGGGGGCACTGACCCATGCAGTAGTTCATGTGGTAGCCTTCAGGTGCAATGATCCACTCATCCCACTGGATATCTTTAAACTTGATGTAGAAGTCTTTCTTGCAGCACACCGTCACCTCATCTCCGCAGCGCAGTGATCGCTTTCTGATTAAGTGCTTGGAGTGGTCATCATTCAGACGCACCTGGGCCACCATGAAGGGCTGGTTTGCTTTGTCAGTCGAGCTATTAAAGGAGCAAAGGTTCCTTTCACCCTCTTCGCAGCTGACCTCAAGCCGGAGTCGCCGCTGACCTCCGTCCAGAAAGGTCTGCAGCGTGTGGGTGATGGGGAAGGTATGCCAGTTGTTCTCCTTAACCTCCAGCATCTTTTCTATCACCAGGGTGCGATTAGAGCCTGAAGTCTCTTCATCTGCTGAGAGGAAGAGCTGGGCAAGGAGGCGGGAGCTCCGGTGAGGATCTTCAGACGATTTGGCATAAATCCACAGAGAGGACTGAAGGACCTGGATGCTCTTGCCCCGTTCCTGCAGAAACTGAAAGGTAAGGCTAAGGCTGGCCTTGTCACCGCTGTCTGAATCATCTATGAAACAATGACAATTTAAAAACAAACACAGACTGTTAATATTTTGAACATTTCAAGAGGTTGTCACCTTACAGCCAAAATGGAATGTACTGAAATGATTGCAAGATAAAGCTATTAGGTCCACTTTCTCTAAATAAAGGTCAGGTATTTTCTTTTACCTTTACTTTTTACTTATGTGTTAGTTTAATCTGGCATGAAGAAATAATTCAGCTGGAGCTCTTTAGCTATGTCTTAGATCCGCTTTCAAGCACTTGGCTTTTGGTGCATCCACATTTTCTTGAAAAACTTTAATGTAGCATTCAACATACACAACATTTTAATCCCAATAATTCCTATATGTTTAAAGGTTATGTTGTTTACTAAGTTATTTGTTCTGCTTTCTAAACTTGCTTGGGCGTCAAGCATCCTAGTTATTAGTAAGTCGGCTGCCTTTAAAATGAGCCTTTTCTTTTAAAATATTTCCAAATGGAAATGTTCTTTTATTACAACACAGTCTCCGACCTGTTTTAATATTCCAAATGCAAAAGCCACAATGAAATCTTCAGGACTGCTGAAGGGGGCGTGGTGTTTATCTAAAACCAGAATTTAACTAAATGAGCATTTTGCGCAGGTATTATCTAACTTCTCTGTATATGAATATGTATATTTGGAAGTAATGCGATTTCACTCATTTCTCACATGAGTATAAGAATTCAAAATAAAATAAAAAATTATCAAATGGGGAACACCGACACTATTACGCACAAACTTGCGCAAAAGGTGCGCTCATACAAAGTGTTTAAAAGTAATGCCAGAAAAGATTTACAGTATGGAAAATGAAAGAAAAACTTACTTATATCTGCAAAGCTCACTATTTCATAGCCTTGATCTTTGGTAGGTAAACTGTTTTCTAGTTCAAGGGTACCATCCTGTCTGACGCGTCCCGAGTGCAGCTTGCGCAGCGCAGTTAGAAGCGCCACTTTTGGCACCGTCTGAGTGATGTTCGGTCTCTCTTTCAGGTGGAGCTTTTCCAAAAGTTGCTGTTTGGCGAACTCTATCATCATCTTCTCTTCTGCGTCTTTCTCCATTGCCGGTAAGCCACAGGACGCGCAGGCTGGGGAGCCGCTGACCCGGAGCCCCTTCAGCAGCAAAGTTGCCAGTAGCAGCAGTGAAATAAGTGAAAAAGACGGCGTCATCCTCCAGCATAAAGAAAAGTTTTGCTTTTTTTTTTTAGTTGGAGTAAGTTTACTAATAACAATAAAAAAAATCTTCTAAAACCTCTCCCCTGAGTGCTTCTTTCAACCCAATGTTGTCAGAGGTTCTTGCTGGCAGCTGTGACACAGTCAGGACAGAAGCTGGAAAGCAGAGTGGCGTCTCACCCTCCTGATGCTGCAGATATGTGGGGTAATCCACCAAAACTGGTGACACGTTGGAGAGACGCACCAATGAGCGGATCGGGGCACCGGGGAAATTACGCATCAGAGTGTCCTCTCCCACAACACGGACAATCACACACAGCACGCGCCCACAGGTTGGCAGTCGACTCACGATTACTTTTTCTTAACTTTGTGACTTTGTGATCTCATTTTATGGCACCATAATAAATGCGTAAAGTTATCGGTTTGTGGGCATAGATCAGATCTTATTTCTGTGCCACGTTGCGCTCTTTGGCACAACCATAACATCTGAAGCGTTCAAAGTTGCAAAGCTTTGCCCTTTAACCCAATTTACGAATGGTACCCGAGAAGCACAATCAGCCGTAGTTCAACATGTGAGTAAGGGCTGGGCTCTGTGAAAGCGGGGGCGGCATTTAAAGAACAGGTTCCGTCATGTTGTGTGCACGGTCACAGCACAAGAACCATGCAGCGAAGAGGACGCCTCGCTCATGTCTCTGCTATGTGACGAAGAGGAAAAAAAGAGCAGCAGAAGAATAACTCCGTCAAGCCGCTACAAGTTTTCTCAGCCAGGGTTGTGGTGATGTCTGTCAAACAGTAACCAACAACTTTGGAAAAAATGTACATATATTTAGATCAAATAATGTGCTACACGTGATTTGCAATACGTTAGTAGCACCAGTTCTCCGTTACATAACTTACATAAGCCAAAAATACTTGCAAACAGTTATTCGATAAAGTAGGCCACTATGTAATGCTCAAATATGATTTGGCAGTTGCGTCCTTTGATACTTGCATCCATTTCGTAGTGCATAGCTAATGATGTTAAATACACAATAATGAGGTACAACTTTGACTGTTTCCATATAAATTCTAAGATGGTTTTAAATTTCCATTTAATGTTTATACCTCAAGGCGAAACAGTGAATTTTGGGGGGCGGAATTATTCTCAAGTCTCTGACACATGATTAGGCTACTTGCCTGCCGACATGTGGGCAATAGGAAGTACTACAACTAAATCCACTGGCTGTCCAAAGTGTAATAAAAGATTAAAAATGATGAAAATCTTAAATAATATAAACTATGTTCTAAAACACAATTATGTTACTGGTCAAATAAGATTACTTTAAACCTTTATCTGTCAGGGTTGTGAATAATTTTGAACTTAAGAGTAGTTTGCTTGGGAATTTTTTTTTTAAAATACATTTTAATTCTTGCAACAGATTCCCAATTGAGCTCGGTCTGGACTTTAATTCCAACACAGATTAAATTATTTCACGATCTCTCTTTTCATATGATTATTTTTTTTACAGGTTGAAATTAAAACCACAGAAAATTTTGTGAATATGTGTGTTCAACTGATATTTGTGAATTGCACAAGATTGGTGAGTGGAAAAATGAAGTGGAACTCCTTCCACTTTGTCACAAATCAACAACTGGTTAAAACTTTGACAGAGTTGGATGTTCCGACAGGGTGATGACCCCAAAACATGTCAAAACTGGTTTTAGATATAATAACAAAAGGTGACGTCGTGCTGCTGGAATGGTGGCAACCTCAAAACTATTGTAAATGCAATGACTATTCTTAAGAACTGCCCCACCCATACCAGAAAACCTGATCTACCCTTAGGTCTACCAGAATTATGACAGAAGCCTGTTGCTTGATACAAAAAATGTTTTTCTTAGACTTGCCAAGCAACATTTCCACAAGAACAGGTGAGGCTATCTGATAATAAATATTGACACACACAGTATAGAAAGAGACCATTTTTTTCTCTCTGCCTGAGATTATACCAGATTTTCTGTTTTAGGTCAGAGGATTACTGTAGAATAATTAGCAAAATTACAAGTAGCCTTAATTTCTGTTGTGATGCTAATGAAAACTCAACATCTGAAATTAGTGTATCACATCAGACAAACAAAAAATCTGACAAATGTGCCTCATTGGAATCAATATTCTAATTTATTGCATATGACTAAACATCTCCATAGCACTTCTTAGAATAACCTTTTAAATTTGACCTTATGACTTCGGTCAAACATTTGCTTTCACAATCTTCTCATTGATTGCTCATACACACCTTTTCAACTCCGTTCACAGCTTTTCAATGGAACTGAGGTCAGGGCTTTGAAATCCCTCTCCAAAACATTGACTATATGTTGTCCTCAAACCACTTTGAAAGTGATTTGGTTCTATGCTGAGAGTCAATGTCAATTTGAGAGAGTTTTTTGTATGTTTACTGGTTGATATGGTGGGCCAAAATGCACTTTCTTGCATTGGAAAATTACACAGAACAACAACAACTACAACAACAACAATAAACATATCTCCTTGGTGTTTTGGCTGTTTTATTTTTTTCTGTTGTCAGACCATGCATCCTATTCAGGTTTTTTAAGAATATGTTCTGCCATTTCAAGCATACTATATTGTCACTGTCCTAAAATAATGACATATGTCATTATTTTACTCTTAAGTTCTTCTTAAAGCTAAAAAAAATGTTGAGCATCATCCTCTGTTATTTTGACACTGCACTTATTGATAAAGTAATATTTAAAAAAACAAGTGTTAACCTGAAAGTACTATTTATGTGGCCCAGAAAAAGTTGACACAAAAGGCATCAAAGGGAGTAACCCTTCATATCACCCTGGAACCCAGAAACCAACAGATCCTGATAGTTGCACCAAATCCTCAATACCACCAATTACCTAATCAGAGGTGGGATTCATCCACAAGAAAACTACTCAACCACCCAAGTACTGCCTGATCTTTCATTATTCAGGAATTTACCGAATATAAATAATTTTGGTAATCATAGCTGACCTAAAACTGAAAAGGTTAAGCCTGAGAACTGGTCCTGAAGAATTGGTCCTGGCTCCTGGTGTGGCCCCTGTACTGAAGAGATAATACTAAGTTAATTTCTTATGATGATATGAGCTGGCACATAAACTGTATCTAAGTGGTCCCTTTAACTTATTATTATATTTTACCTTCACGGTTTTACTTTAGCAATGAAGTAAAAAAAAAAAAAATGGTGTTGCACTTTTAGTAGGATCAAGTATGTTGACAGGATGACAGTTTTCATCTGACAGATCAGGGGTTTGCAACCTGCAAACCCCTGATATACTAATTAAGTGATGGAAATTTGCATTGTTATTTTTTTTTGTTTTGTTCATTTGTTTTGTGTTTCCTGTGAAAAAAAAAAAAGCAAAACAAAACACTGACCCTCTTGGTAATTTACACCACAACTGCCACTGGCTTCAGCTGAAGGTCCTTGTCTGAACGACAACCACCTACCAACGACTAAAAGGGCACCCTTTGGTTTTCGCTTATTGTTTTCGTCTTTTTGTCTTCTATTTAAGAAAGATAACGCTTTAACAACTTTCTCCGTACTCTGAACGTCTCTGAGTGAGCGACGGAAAGGTACGTCACTGACGTCAACAGTCAGTGAGGGGGGTGGGGGGCAAAAACTGACGCTGACACTCAAGCCGGAGCTGAGAAGAGGGGGACTAGTGTTTTGTTTATTTTTTCTTTAATTTATATCGTTTTATTCTTTAGTGTTGTGTTTGTATTTTGCAGTACTCCATTGACAGTATTGACTGACCTGCTTTTAAGCGCTTGCTTTACTGCCGTTAACTTTCGTGGCGCTGTCCCCTCACGCGGCGCTATTTTGACAGTCGGGTCGCAGTGATCCAACTCAGGCTAGCAGCAACATCACATTAGCAGCGGTAAGTCATTCTGGGAGCTAGCAAACCTAATCCCCCTATTTAAGGACACAACAGTGCTTGGATTGCTTTATAACAAGATTCACATCGCTGTAGACATGTACTGTCTTGCCTGATAGACGTTGTTGACTTAAACAGTAGGATTTATGAGCCCTGGATACTTAGCGTACATTGAAAAGAAAAGGCTAGCTAGCCTGGCTAATATTAGCTTGGTAGCTAATTATACTCTTTGGAGGAAGCAGGCTAGAACGAGAAGCTAGCTATTGTTAGCGGCTAGTATTTTCAGTCAACTGCACAGCCACGACTGACCATACTGCCGAATATCCTTCACAGTGACAACTTTAAGGATTTTCCACACGGCAGTCTAAACACACGGCCACCAAAACGGTAAGCTGAACCACGAAGATGACTTGAGATAATCTATAATTGATGATCTACTATATTTAGTCCCATTTGTAATGTAACATGAAACACCATCTTTAAAGTCCGCGTACTCAATGGCAGGCACGAGATGGCTAAGATAGCTCACAATCTTCTTCGTGGTGTGAGAAAGATGTTGCTGAAACTCGGCGTTTGTGTGAATAAAGTGGAAATTAAGGCATTTATAGTTGCGGATGGGTCCAAATGTTAAAATTAGAATACATTTAGAGAGACGTTTAAAGCACGCAGCGCAGTCAATGGTATCATCACCGTGCTGTAGATACTATATATATATATAGTATCTACAGTATCAGTAGTATATATATACAGTAGTATAGTATCTGAAAATGTGTATGTATGTAAATATATATATTTACATACATACACATTTTCAGTGAATACAAGAAAAATGACTGTAGTTATGCTATAGCAGATGACGTAAAATAAAAACAGAACAAAGTTTTCAATTGGATGATTATGTCAGTTTTTGTTTAGAATATGCTAATCTTCCTTGATTGAATGGATGATATTGTTCTGATACTTTTTATTTAACGTTAAAGGGACTGTATTATGCATTTTCCAAGCTTGTAGTGTCATTTTGTAGCATAATCAAGTAACTGTTACCTTCAGTTCTTATAAAATGGTGTATATGTCAAACATAACTTAAAAGAAATTTAACTTCAC